TGTATTTAAATAAATAAAAAAGTAAGTAAAGTTAAAAGTGATTGCCTAACTAGTCTACAGCTGCTGGTGCGTGGCCCTTATATAGGGCAAATGGTCCGTGGGGCAGTAACAGCGCTACTGCTCATGATCGAGGTGCCATTGATTACAGCCATTGATATTAGGCACAATAAAAATGTCGGATATCATCATTGAGCATCGAAATCCTACAACAGGAACACTACTTTGCATGCACAGCAAGTCAACTGATCCTCGGTCCAGGGGGAATGGCAGTGGAACCAGGGGCACAGAGTACACCAAGGGGCCAGCATAACACCAGACAGGTGATGATGCCACAGGCTGACAGGTGGATGATGGTATGACCACTGGGGCCAAGTGCAATGGCCAAATTTGCAAATGCCAATGAAGGGGTGGAAGAAATTGATAGTGAAAGCAACGGACCAGTAGCCAAGTGGATAGAGCAAGAAGCCAAGGCAAGGACAGCCTGTGTTTTGATACCATGACAATGGTGCTGGGAGACAGCAGAGGTTGTCATGCAGTAATAATCAAGATCACTAAATCAGCGGTCTGGGCAAGGGTTTGCGGCTTAGCCGCAGTAGAACTTTGTTATTTAAAAAGAGTTTATTGTTGTCTATGAAATGGATCTCTTTATCTCCTCTTTATTTATTCCGAAATACATTCTAGTATCACACACTCCTTGACTTTGTCACTTGAGTTGTCGGATCGAGCAATAGCACTGCAGTACTTGCAAGCGGGCTCGAGGTCGGGAATTAAGTGTGACAGTTTTGTGGCCACTTGGACTGCGACACGAGCCATTAGCCATAATAGCGAAATTGTAGCTCACCAAAAGATGAGTCATGGCTCGGTATTGTATTTCCTTTTTAATTTATTAAATAACAGGGCAGTTATAACAAGAGCAGCTAGCTCAAATAATATGGCCTTGTAGCTCAGCGGATCTTAGAGCGCTCGTTTCCGATGCGAGAAGTCCCAGGTTCGAACCCTGGCTGGGTCATTTTTTCATCATCTCTTTTGATGATCCAGATCCATGGAGTACACCTTTTTGGCCCTGTAAATCGGTCCTTACATGATAAACCCAACCTTAGACTCATATCATCTGAACTAACCCTTGATCACATTCAAAAGAACAGTCAATGATTGTCATTAGTGATTGAATCACTTTCATCTTCTTTTTGCCCCCCCACCAATAGGCATTCTGTGGTGACAAAACCACGTGATCACATGACACTTGCGGGAATCAACAGACATATTAAATGGCAAGGACAGAATTTGCGATGGATGCATACAATGATTTAATGTGTATTGGCGGACATGATGGACAACGTTGACAGAGCTAAACCAGGCCAAGAAGAAATGACACAGATCTAAAATAATTTTATATAAAAAGAGAAAACCCAGTCTCCCTGTTTTTGTGTTTATCCTTATCAATTTAGTAATAGAAATATTCTATCATCACAATTGCTTTGGCCATTGATAAGATCTATACCCAATACCTCAGTGGATACATGCTTATTAAGCAGCTCATGCCTCAAATACTCGAGTAGACAACAGTATTCTATGCCTCTCCATATTCCAAGGTAGTTTTGCCAAGCTTCATGTTCTTTCTGTCCTCACA